AGGGTTACGCCTATGGTTAGGGTTAGTTTTAGGGTTAGGGTTGGACAGGGTTATGGTTATGGTTAGGGTTAGGATTGGGATTGGGATTAGGTTTAGGGTTAGTGTTAGGGTTAGGGTTAGGATTAGGGTTTGACGTTTGGGGTTAGGTTTAGGGCTAGCGTTAGGGTTAGTGTTAGAGTGTTAAGGTTAGGGTTAGGGTTGGGGTTTGAGGTTAGCATTATGGCTAGGATTAGGTTTAGGCTTATGGTTAGTGCTCGGGTTAGGGTTAGGGATAGGGTTATGGTTAGCCTTTGGATTCGGGTGAGGGTTAGTGTTAGAGGTTAGGCTAATGGTTAAGGTTAGGGTTGGAGTTAGGTTTGGAGTTAGAGTTTTGGGTTAATGTTAGGGTTAGAGTAATGTTTAGTGTTAGTGTTAGGGTTACGGTTAGGGTTAGGGTTAGGTTTAGTGTTTTCAGTTAGGCTTAGGTTTAGCATTATGGTTAGGGTTTGGGTTCGGTTTAGGGTTATGGTTAGCATTAGAGTTTGAGTTAGGGTTACGGTTAGAGTTAGGGTTAGGTTTATGGGTGGTGTTGAAGCTTAGGTCTAGCGTTAGTGTTAGTGTTAAAAGTTAGCTTTAGTGTAATGGTTAGTGTTAGGGTTAGTTTGAGATTTATGGTTAGGGTTAGGGTGAGTGTTAGAAAATAGTTTTGTGTTAGGGTCAGGGTTACGGTTAGGGTTAGACAGGGTTAGGGTTAGGGTTAGGGTTTGGATTTATGTTAGGGATATGGTTAGTGTTGGGGTTAGAGTTAGGGTTAGTGTTAGGATTAGGGTTTGGCATGAAGGTTTAGGATTAGGGTTAAGGTTAGGATTAGGGTTAGGGTTAAAAGGTTAGGGTTAGGGTTAGAGTTCAGGGTTAGTGTTACCTTTAGGGTTATGGTTATAGATAAGGTTTGGGTTCTTGTTAGGTTTAGGGTTATAGGTTAGGCTTATGGTTAGCATTAGGTTTAGGGTTAGGGTTACGTTTAGGGTTAGAATTTATGGTAAGTGTTAGGGTTAGGGTAAGGGTTAGGGTTAGTGTGAGGGTTAGAGTTAGGTTTAGCGTTAGGGTTAGGGTTAGAGTTAGGGTTAGGGTTATGGTAAGATTTAGGGTTCTGGTAAAGGTTAGGGTTAGTGTTAGGGTTAGGGTTAGGATTAGGGTTATGGTTAGCCATGGATTCGGGTGAGGGTTAGTGTTAGAGGTTAGGCTAATGGTTAAGGTTAGGGTTGGAGTTAGGTTTGGAGTTAGAGTTTTGGGTTAATGTTAGGGTTAGAGTAATGTTTAGTGTTAGTGTTAGGGTTATGGTTAGGGTTAGGGTTAGGTTTAGTGTTTTCAGTTAGGCTTAGGTTTAGCATTATGGTTAGGGTTTGGGTTCGGTTTAGGGTTATGGTTAGCATTAGAGTTTGAGTTAGGGTTACGGTTATAGTTAGGGTTAGGTTTAGGGGTGGTGTTGAAGCTTAGGTCTAGCGTTAGTGTTAGTGTTAAAAGTTAGCTTTAGTGTAATGGTTAGTGTTAGGGTTAGTTTGAGATTTATGGTTAGGGTTAGGGTGAGTGTTAGAAAATAGTTTTGTGTTAGGGTCAGGGTTACGGTTAGGGTTAGACAGGGTTAGGGTTAGGGTTAGGGTTTGGATTTATGTTAGGGATATGGTTAGTGTTGGGGTTAGAGTTAGGGTTAGTGTTAGGATTAGGGTTTGGCATGAAGGTTTAGGATTAGGGTTAAGGTTAGGATTAGGGTTAGGGTTAAAAGGTTAGGGTTAGGGTTAGAGTTCAGGGTTAGTGTTACCTTTAGGGTTATGGTTATAGATAAGGTTTGGGTTCTTGTTAGGTTTAGGGTTATAGGTTAGGCTTATGGTTAGCATTAGGTTTAGGGTTAGGGTTACGTTTAGGGTTAGAATTTATGGTAAGTGTTAGGGTTAGGGTAAGGGTTAGGGTTAGTGTGAGGGTTAGAGTTAGGTTTAGCGTTAGGGTTAGGGTTAGAGTTAGGGTTAGGGTTATGGTAAGATTTAGGGTTCTGGTAAAGGTTAGGGTTAGTGTTAGGGTTAGGGTTAGGATTAGGGTTATGGTTAGCCATGGATTCGGGTGAGGGTTAGTGTTAGAGGTTAGGCTAATGGTTAAGGTTAGGGTTGGAGTTAGGTTTGGAGTTAGAGTTTTGGGTTAATGTTAGGGTTAGAGTAATGTTTAGTGTTAGTGTTAGGGTTATGGTTAGGGTTAGGGTTAGGTTTAGTGTTTTCAGTTAGGCTTAGGTTTAGCATTATGGTTAGGGTTTGGGTTCGGTTTAGGGTTATGGTTAGCATTAGAGTTTGAGTTAGGGTTACGGTTAGAGTTAGGGTTAGGTTTAGGGGTAGTGTTGAAGCTTAGGTCTAGCGTTAGTGTTAGTGTTAAAAGTTAGCTTTAGTGTAATGGTTAGTGTTAGGGTTAGTTTGAGATTTATGGTTAGGGTTAGGGTGAGTGTTAGAAAATAGTTTTGTGTTAGGGTCAGGGTTACGGTTAGGGTTAGACAGGGTTAGGGTTAGGGTTAGGGTTTGGATTTATGTTAGGGATATGGTTAGTGTTGGGGTTAGAGTTAGGGTTAGTGTTAGGATTAGGGTTTGGCATGAAGGTTTAGGATTAGGGTTAAGGTTAGGATTAGGGTTAGGGTTAAAAGGTTAGGGTTAGGGTTAGAGTTCAGGGTTAGTGTTACCTTTATGGTTATAGATAAGGTTTGGGTTCTTGTTAGGTTTAGGGTTATAGGTTAGGCTTATGGTTAGCATTAGGTTTAGGGTTATGGTTACGTTTAGGGTTAAAATTTATGGTAAGTGTTAGGGTTAGGGTAAGGGTTAGGGTTAGTGTGAGGGTTAGAGTTAGGTTTAGCGTTAGGGTTAGGGTTAGAGTTAGGGTTAGGGTTATGGTAAGATTTAGGGTTCTGGTAAAGGTTAGGGTTAGGGTTAGGGTTAGGATTGAGATTATGGTTAGGGTTAGTGTTAGGGTTAGGGTTAGGATTAGGGTTTGACGTTAGGGATTAGGTTTAGAGCTAGCATTAGGGTTAGTGTTAGAGTGTTAGGGTTAGGGTTTGGGTTGGGGTTTGAGGTTAGCATTAGGGCTAGTATTAGGATTAGGGTTATGGTTAGTGTTCAGTTTAGGGTTAGGGTTAGGGTTATGGTTAGCCTTTGGATTCGGGTGAGGGTTAGTGTTAGGGTTAGGGTTAGGGTTATGGTTAGCCTTTGGATTTGGGTGAGGGTTAGGGTTAGGGTTAGGGTAAGGCTTAGTGTTAGAGGTTACTGTTAGGGTTACGGTTATGGTTAGGGTTAGAATTTAGGTTTAGGGTTAGATTTAGGGTTAGGATTAGTTTTAGGGATAAGGTTAGGGTTAGGTATGGTGTTAGCGTTAGTGTTAGTGTTTGGGGTTTCGGTTAGGTTTAGGGCTAGGGTTAGTTTTAGGTTTAGCATTAAAGTGAGGGTTAGGTTTAGGGTTAGGATTAGGGTTGTTGTTAGAGGTTAGCGTTAGATTTAGGTTAGAGTTAGGGTTACGGTTAAGGATAGGGATTGGTTTAGGGTTAGGGTAAGTGTTAGGGTTAGTGTTAGTGTTAGTGTTTAGGGTTATGGTTAGGGTTAGGCTTAGGTTGAGTTTTAGGTTTAGGGTTAGATTTAGGGTTAGTGATACGTTTAGGGTAAGGGGTAGGTTTAATGTTAGAGGATAGGTTTAGTGTTAGTGTTAGGGTTAGGGTTATTGTTAGGGTTAGGGTTAGGTTTACAGTTTAGGGTTAGCATTAGTGTTAGGGTTAGGATTAGTGTTATTGTTAGGGTTATGATTAGGGTTAGTGTTAGGTTTAGGGTTAGGGTTAGGGTCACGATTAGGATTAGGGTTAGGGTTAGGTTTATGTTTAGTGTTAGGTTTATGTTTAGGGTTAGGTGTTAGGGATAGGGTTAGGGTTAGGGTTCCTGTTGGTTAGGGTTACGCTTATGATTATTTTAGTGTTAGGATAAGGGTTATGGTTAGGGTTATATTTAGGATTACGGTTAGCTTTAAGTTTATGTTTAGGGTTAGGGTTAGGTTTAGGGTTAGGGTTAAGGTTAGGGTTAGTAGTTAGGTGTTAGGGATAGGGTTAGGGTTATGTTAAGGTTAATGGTTCGGTTTCGGGTTAGGGTTAGGTTTAGGTTTAGTGTTACGTTGAGCTTTTTAGTTTGGGTTAGTGTTGGAAGTTAGGTTTGTGTTTGACTTAGTGTTAGGGTTAGGGTTTGGTTTTGGGTTAGGTTTAGGTTTAGATGATAGGGTTAAGTTTAGGATTAGGTTTAGGTTTATGGTTAGTGTTTGGGTTCGGATTATTGTTAGGATTAGAGGTTAAGTGTATGGTTATGTTAGGGTTAGGGTTAGGGTCTGGGTTGGGGTACGGTTAGGGTTAGCTTTAGGTGATAGTTGTTAGTGATATGGTTAGGGTTAGGGTTAGGTTTAATTATAGGGTAAGGGTTAGGATTAGGCTTAGAGGATAGGCTTAATGTGAGCATTAGGGTAAGGGTTAGGTTAAGGGTTAGTGTTAGGATTAGGTTTAGAAGTTAAGTTCAGGGTTAGATTAGGGTTAGGGTTAGAGTTTGGATTAGGGTTAGTGTTATGATTCGAATATAGGGTTATGCTTAGCGTTAGGATTAGGGTTAGTGTTAGGGTTATGGTTATGGTTAGAGGTTAGCATTACATTTAGGGTTAGACTTAGGGTTAGGGTTACAGTTACGGTTATGGTTAGGCTTAGTGGTTAGATTTACAGTTAGGGTTAGGATTGAAGCTTAGGTTTAGTGGTAGGATTAGGGTTAGGGTTAGTGTTAGAAGTTAGGTTTGTGTTTGGGTTAATGTTAGGGTTAGGTTTGTGTTAGGGTTAGGGTTAAGGTTAGGGTTAGGTTTAGGGTTAGGATTAGTGTTAGGGTTCATAATAGGGTAAGGGTTAGGATTAGGGTTAGAGGATAGTTTTAGGGTTAGGGTTAGGGTTATTGTTAGGGTTAGGATTTGGGTTCATGTAGGGAGCCGAGTGACAGGCATTGCTGCCTAGATGTCTCTCTCTCTCTCTCCTATGGGCACTGCGTCTGCCTACATTAACCATAATCCTCTTCTGCTTACGTCACTTATCCGGATGTGATGGTAACCCTGTTGTATTCATCTGTTTAACCTCTTCCTGTCCCAGCTCCCGCCCTTAGCCTATAAAAGGTGTGATTATTTTCTCAATAAACCGGAGGCTTGATTGGGTTAACATCAACTTGCCTTCCTCTCTTTTTGTCTCCCCTATGTCTTTTGTTTAATCCCCGTTTCTCCTCCAGGAGTTCTGAACTTGTTGATCTGCAGGCCGGATCAAGTGGCGCTCAGCGTGGGAGCCCCTGGCACGGAGAAGTTAACGAGGGAGCCGTTCGAGAGACAGCCGGCTTAAACCGAAAGTGAAAGCAAATTGAACCAGAGACCTCGGCCGAGGAATGAGTAAACTGAATCAAGGATTAAAGTTTAAAGCAACAGGACATTAAATCAAGTGCCGAGACCTGCGCAGACGACTACCCGACGTCCTGTCCGAGTCACGGTGAGTGAACGGCAACCCCATTTCCCTTTCCCGACATGGGTCAAGTATTGAGCGAACACGAAGTGTTCGTAGGAGGCCTTATAAAGGCATTAAAGACAAGAGAGATAAGGGTTGAAAAACAAGAATTATTACAGTATTTTCAGTTTATTCATAAGGTTTGCCCTTGGTTCCCCCTAGAGGGTTCTACAGATACCAAGAGGTGGAATAGAGTAAGAGATGCTTTAAAAGATTGGAGTTTTCGGTCCAAAAAAGGTTCCTGTGACCACCTTTACATATTGGAATTTAATTTCTGAGCTGCTTGCCCAGAGGCATGCAGACCCTCAGGTTGAGGAGACAGTTGCACTGGGTGAGGCTGCCTTGCGCGACTCCATTAAATCTACCTCAAAACCGTCCTCAGAAAAATCTGAAGCCTCTGATTTCTCAGATGCAGAGAATGATGGCCTGTTAGAGGTCCTTGTACATGGTGATCTGCCACCACTTCCACCTGTTGACATGATCAGCTGGTCCCAGGATGGCAGCCCACTACTCCTTGTGCCTCCATGGCAAATTGGGGATTCATATAAGCCTTTAGAAACAACCTTAACTCTAAAAAGCTTGCAGCCGCAAGGCAGCTGGTGCAGGACCAGTTAGATGCAGGCCACATTGTTCCTAGTAATTCCCCTTGGAACACACCTATCTTTGTTATCCGGAAAAGGTCAGGAAAGTGGAGGCTGCTACAAGACCTTAGGGCAATAAATAAGACAATGGTCTTAATGGGGCCCCTACAGCCAGGCCTCCCTCCACCCAGTGCCATTCCTTTAGGATTTTTTAAAATTGTCATAGATCTTAAAGATTGCTTTTTCTCTATTCCTTTACACTTCATGACTTCCAAAAACCATTGGGAGACATTAATTGGCTCATACCATTTTTAAAACTAACTAAACATGATTTACAGCCCCTTTATGCGCTGCTTCGGGGAGACATAGATCCAACTTCCCCCCGAGAGCTTACACCTGATGCCAGGAGAGCGCTCAGTAAAGTAGAAGAGGCTATTGCTCAACAAACTGTTTCCTTTATGGACTACAATGAGCCTTTACAGTTTCTCATTTTTAATACAAAGCTTTGCCCTACAGCAGTGTTCTGGCAACAAGCTCCCCTCATGTGGGTCCATTTACCAGTCTCTCCAAAAAGAACACTTTTGCCTTATTTCCAAGCTGTCTCAGACCTAATAATCCAGGGTAGAAAGCAGGGAAAATGTTACTTTGGCAAAGAACCAGATATTATCATTCAACCTTTTACAAAAGACCAAATAGATTGGCTACTTCAGAGTACTGAAGTGTGGCCTATTGCCTTAGCTTCCTATTCAGGGACTATTGACAATCATTACCCTCTAAATAAGCTAGTTGACTTTGCTAATCGTCACTAATTTATATTCCCTAAAGTCACAGCTTCACAACCCCTTCCGGGTGCCCTGGTTTTATTCACTGATGGCTCATCCTCTGGAAGAGCTGCTTATGTATCTCAAGACAATGTTTCTACCCTCCAGGCAGATACTTCCTCTGCACAATTAGCAGAGTTAGAAGCTATTCTTGCAGCTTTTGCTGCTTACTCTGACCAACCATTTAATTTGTATACTGACAGTGCTTACCTTGCTCAGTCTGTTCCATTATTAGAGACTGTTGCTATTATATGTCATGCTTCCCCAGCTGCAAATCTGTTCAAACAATTACAATGCTTCATACGGCTTCGCCGTCATAAGTTCTTTATCGGTCATCTGCGAGCTCATTCCAACCTCCCAGGGCCTCTTGCCCAAGGAAATCATTTGGCTGATGTTGCTGTACGAACACAGGTTTTTATGGCTCAGGACTCCAAGGTGTCTGAGGCCCAACAAGCCCACCAGCTACATCACCTCAATGCTCACACCCTCCGCCTTCTCTACAAAATTACCCGTGAGCAAGCCAGACAAATTGTAAAAAATTGCCCATCTTGTGCTCTCCACTCACCTGTTCAACACCTAGGAGTCAACCCTAGAGGTTTAATTCCTAACGCCTTATGGCAAATGGATTTTACCCATTTCAATGAGTTTGGCAATCTAAAATATGTACATGTCAGCATTGACACTTATAGTGGCTTCATTTTTGCCACTCTCCAGACTGGAGAAGCTGCTAAACACATTATAGCCCATATGCTGTCAGCCTTCTCAGTTCTGGGATGTCCTCAACAGCTCAAGACCGATAATGGCCCTGGCTATACCAGCACCTCCTTTGCTCAATTTTGTAAAAGCCTTAATATCCTCCACACTACAGGTATACCTTATAATCCTCAGGGACAAGGCATTGTTGAACGTGCGCATCGTTCTCTTAAATTCACCATAGATAAAATAAAAAGGGAGACATGGTACCCCACCCAGGGGTCCCATAGAAATGTCCTTTCACATGCTCTTTTTATTTTAAATTTTCTGACCCTGGATGCTTCAGGCTGCTCCGCAGCATCTCGGTTTTGGCATACTCAGACTCAAACACGGTTTGCATCTGTTTTATGGAGAGACCCACTAACCAATGTGTGGAATGGCCCTGACCCAGTCCTTATCTGGGGACGAGGTTCAGTGTGTGTTTACTCTCAACAAGATAGAGAAGCTAGATGGCTACCTGAACGCCTCGTAAAGCAAGTAGACAGTTCTTCAAAGACCCCATGTAACGCCCAGGAATAATGTTATTTCCTGAGGCACAATCCCCTGTGTTCTCTTACAGGTGACACATCTCCCTGGAGCCTTATGCTGCTTAACCAGCCTTCTTGAGCCACACCACACCCATGGTGGATTTTGACCCCTGCCAAACAGACTGCAACTGCTGACAGCCATGCACAGAACCCCATGACTGTGGAAGAGGCTCTTCTCGGTCTGGAGGAACATACGCCAGCCAAATAGACTGCATCCAGTGTTATACAAGGCATGCTCCAAGACACAGGAGAATGACTTCATACAGAGACACCAACAAATGACTGTCAACCCCTTCTCCTTGATTTTGGGGGGGGGAGTTTTTCCCTTACCTAGTCCCACTTTTGGGTCCCCTAGCTGACCTATTGTTTCTCATTTCTGTGAGTTCTTGTATTTTTCAGAGGATTATGATGTTCATTAATAACCGGATAGACGCATTTATGGCAAAGCCCATTCAGGTACACTATCATCAGCTGGAGTTGGCAGATCAACAAACCTACAGGGAAGGAATTCCCACGAGTGGCCCATATGATGATGCGGCCTGACTGCCCTGGGGCAATGGACAGGCAGTCAGAGACGGGCAACTAGGACATGCATGTTAATTCCAACGGCCACCTAAGACAGGCACAGGACCAACTGCTGTTCTGCAAGCCCATGACGGGTAAGGCCTGGTTGGGTTCATGCAATGAGGTCCTTGACCTAAGACAGACGCTGTCCTCACAAGGCCTGCCATACTCTTAATTAAATAATATAAAAAGGGAGGAGATGTAGGGAGCCGAGTGACAGGCATTGCTGCCTAGATGTCTCTCTCTCTCTCTCCTATGGGCACTGCGTCTGCCTACATTAACCATAATCCTCTTCTGCTTACGTCACTTATCCGGATGTGATGGTAACCCTGTTGTATTCATCTGTTTAACCTCTTCCTGTCCCAGCTCCCGCCCTTAGCCTATAAAAGGTGTGATTATTTTCTCAATAAACCGGAGGCTTGATTGGGTTAACATCAACTTGCCTTCCTCTCTTTTTGTCTCCCCTATGTCTTTTGTTTAATCCCCGTTTCTCCTCCAGGAGTTCTGAACTTGTTGATCTGCAGGCCGGATCAAGTGGCGCTCAGCGTGGGAGCCCCTGGCACGGAGAAGTTAACGAGGGAGCCGTTCGAGAGACAGCCGGCTTAAACCGAAAGTGAAAGCAAATTGAACCAGAGACCTCGGCCGAGGAATGAGTAAACTGAATCAAGGATTAAAGTTTAAAGCAACAGGACATTAAATCAAGTGCCGAGACCTGCGCAGACGACTACCCGACGTCCTGTCCGAGTCACGGTGAGTGAACGGCAACCCCATTTCCCTTTCCCGACATGGGTCAAGTATTGAGCGAACACGAAGTGTTCGTAGGAGGCCTTATAAAGGCATTAAAGACAAGAGAGATAAGGGTTGAAAAACAAGAATTATTACAGTATTTTCAGTTTATTCATAAGGTTTGCCCTTGGTTCCCCCTAGAGGGTTCTACAGATACCAAGAGGTGGAATAGAGTAAGAGATGCTTTAAAAGATTGGAGTTTTCGGTCCAAAAAAGGTTCCTGTGACCACCTTTACATATTGGAATTTAATTTCTGAGCTGCTTGCCCAGAGGCATGCAGACCCTCAGGTTGAGGAGACAGTTGCACTGGGTGAGGCTGCCTTGCGCGACTCCATTAAATCTACCTCAAAACCGTCCTCAGAAAAATCTGAAGCCTCTGATTTCTCAGATGCAGAGAATGATGGCCTGTTAGAGGTCCTTGTACATGGTGATCTGCCACCACTTCCACCTGTTGACATGATCAGCTGGTCCCAGGATGGCAGCCCACTACTCCTTGTGCCTCCATGGCAAATTGGGGATTCATATAAGCCTTTAGAAACAACCTTAACTCTAAAAAGCTTGCAGCCGCAAGGCAGCTGGTGCAGGACCAGTTAGATGCAGGCCACATTGTTCCTAGTAATTCCCCTTGGAACACACCTATCTTTGTTATCCGGAAAAGGTCAGGAAAGTGGAGGCTGCTACAAGACCTTAGGGCAATAAATAAGACAATGGTCTTAATGGGGCCCCTACAGCCAGGCCTCCCTCCACCCAGTGCCATTCCTTTAGGATTTTTTAAAATTGTCATAGATCTTAAAGATTGCTTTTTCTCTATTCCTT